ACAACTTCATAATCAGGGCAAATCATTTTTTATATGAACCGTATAGAAATAAAAGTACAATGTACAATAAAGCGAGACCTTTAAGAACCTCTCCAACGTGTTGTACTTGTCGATTTGTATTTATTTCGTTTATTGCCAGCTGTGAGAATTTCACCCTTTATCAAGAGTATATCGGTCTGTTGACGAATTTTGGTATTCTCATCACCTGGGTGATCTATGATGCCCGAATGTTGTTAGGAGAATTGAAATTTTATTTCTCTATTTATAACTTTCCTCTGGTGGAAATCCCGCCTAATTTTTGCAAACTAGAAGAGTCTTGTAAAAATTAGGCGGGATTTCCACCAGAGGAAAGTTATAAATAGAGAAATAGAATTTCAAAGTGATAAACACCTACTTTCTCCTGACAATATTCGGGCATCGTAGATCACGCAGGTGATGAGAATACTGAAATTCGTCAACTGTTAGAGGGGAAATTATGATTTCAATAGAGTATAGATGCTCCTTAAGCGTGACAATTTCGCTTCCTATGTGCTAACGAAAGAGCTAAATGCGTATGATTAAGTACTTTATTTCCACTCGTATGAAGAAATTCAAGGAAAAAGATACAATATTTCAAGACCGAGATTGAAACATCTCTTCTGCTACTAAATCTTCTCTATATTCAAACATCAAAACTTAAATCAATTGCCAAAACTACTATTTTCTATTTTGTTTTTGAGTACTTGTTTTGCACCTATTTTTTTGTTAGCTTCTTATTAATAGTGAAATTGTAAAATGAATTTTTGCGCAATGACGCCAAGTAATTTCAGGCTCGATAACTTTAAAACACGTTTTCGATCACCTAATCATCGTGTATACCCGTACAAAACAGTCTTCTCAGTGCTACGTTGAACTTGTGGACGCGTCCTTTCGTACATTGTTTCTCAGCTGTCACATGATACAGTGACTGCTCAGCACGGAGCGTTTCTCCCTCTTACAGTCACATGATCGTACAGCAGGAGGTGTAGGATCTTCGCAGACTGTTAAACACCAGCGAGTGTTTAATTTGGCGCGAAATCTCCTCAGTCAAGTCCACTCGATGTACCACGATCCATTCTTCCACGGAATTCTGATATGAGGGAGCCTGGGTACTCTCAATTAAACAGCTGTCCTCTTTGCTTTGACCAACACCTTCGTCCTCTTCCTCTTTTCTTTCGTCCAGTTCATTTGCCTTCGTTATGGTTTCCAACTCATCGCTGTCGTCGCTGACTTCCGATTCGTTTTTCAGAGCATTCACCTGCACTATACGCCCTTTGAATTTTGAACCTGCTCTGTTCTCTATCGGTGTCTTGGTTTCAGAAGATTTGCCGGCATCAGTGAAGTCTTTAACTTCTTCACCTTCAGTGTCTGGTTTGGTATTGTGTTCTGCCCGTGATTCAGGCACGACTTCCCCAGGTTTAATATTCACTGCCTCGACTGTGGAATCTTCCTGATTTGGTTCGGTCTCCGAGGTTTCGCCGGCTTCATTGATGTCGTGAATTTCTTCGGTTTCGGTACCTGGTTCGGTTTTGTGTTCTGCCCGGGCCTCAGCCTTGGGAACATGGACTGTGTCAACTTGCGAATCTTCGTTGTTCGCTGCGGAAGTTCCAGTTCCGGAAGATACCTCTTCGGTTAAGCTTTTTATTTCTCCATCTTCGGTTTCTTGTTTGGTTTCGTTTGGGACTGGTAACTCGGATTCCAGTGGTGCCTCGGCTTCCGAAGACACTTCCTCAGAGATGGCCATTTCCAATTTTGGTTCCATTGACTCAGTTTCCTTAGATGTTACTTCAATGATAGCGCCTATTTCGTTGTCTTCGGTATTTGGTTTGGTTTCATCGACCTCTCGTGTCTCTGTGACTTGTGGTGTTTTGGTTTCCAAGGGTACTTCTTCGGTGACAGCTCGTACTTCGTCTTTGGTATCCGGTTTGCTTTCGTTTTCAACTGGTGGCTCGGTACCTCGCGATGTCTCGCTTTCCGAAGATACTTCCTCAGCGATGGCTCGTATTTCTTCGTCTTCGGTATTTGGTTCGGTTTTGTGTTCCACTAATGACTCATAGCTCGATAATCGTTTGACCGTTACTACCGTCACATCCGAATCATACGATTCTTCGTTGGGTTCGTGTTCAGGCCCAGTGTCATCAAGTGCGCTCGTTGACTGCTGATTTTCGCTAACTGCATTTTCCCTTTCGCTGAACTTAGCGCGTTCTTCTCTTTCTTCAACTTGTATTTCAATTTCTGGGGCTTTATTTTCTTCCTTCTTTTTAAGTAACTCGGTTAACTCATTAATGACTGTTTGCATTAGTTTTTGGTTCTTTCTTCGCGCTTCTTTGGAAACTTCTTCTTCGGTTTTATTGTCATCACGCGCGAGCGACGCGCGCGAAATATCTTCATCGACTTTGCTTTGCTTGCTTTCTTCGTGCTCCTCCATAACGCTCTTTTGTTGTGACATTTCTTTGTTTACTTCATCGTCGATCTGTTCTTTCACTTCTGTGAGGTCTTTTATTTCTTTGAAACTTTTCAGATCGCTTAACACATTTACTTCTTCGTATATGTTTTGGTCATCCTTTCCCTTCATGAATGCTAGCGCTGTTTCGGAGTGCTTCTCGTTACCTTCAAGTTCTATGATATTTTCGCCGTCTTCTTTCTTTTTCTTCAAAGTTCGAGTGGTAGTCTTCAAATCACTTGTCTTTCTTTTAACTGCTTTTGAAGTTCCTTCGTTACCAGAACACTCTTTTTCGTCGTTATCCTCAGCTATCGGTGTTTGTTCTTCTGCGGTTTGTTCCAGTTCAGAACTTGCTCTCTCCTCCGCCTGCTCATCACCAGCACCGTCCACGGAATTTTCATCTTCGTGTGATGTTTTCCTTCCTTGGAGAATATTACCAGGAGACTTCAACTTCCTCAGGCGGCGACGCAAAATATTTTCTTTCTTTTCTTTTTTTGGTGTAACTTGGTTGGAATCTTCTTGTGTTGGTGGGACGGTCTCCTTGCTTTTCGCGTTCTTCGTTTCTTCTTTGTTAGAGACTTCTTGTGTCATCTCCGCGGCCGCAGCCGACGTTCCCTCTGTTTTTAAATCAGCTGCTTCTGTTTCATTTGCTTTGGAATCTTCGTTGCTTTCTTCAAATCCAGCTTTATTCTCTTCCACTGGTCCACTTCCTGTGGCGCTAACATCATCACTCTCTTTGCTTGGATTGCCTTCAGTGTTTTGTTCATCTTCGCTTGCCGATGGTTTTCTCTTTGGCTGGGATTTGCTCCGCTTAAAACCAAGGACCGATCCTTTTTTCTTCTGCTTTCCACCCCTTTTCTTCTCGATTTCTGTTCCTTCATCTTTTCCATCGTTCGTATTTTCGTTGTTGAAATCACTGCTGGCGGCAGCAACAGGTTCTTTTGACTCATTGTCGACAATTTCGGTATTCTGCAAAGGTTGACTGCTTGTACTCCGGGATCGTTTAAATCTCCCTGGAGTATCAACCGAGTTTTCTTCGTGTGTTTCGTTAGAAGTTTCGTCTAACTTGAATGCTATCTCGTATTTCTTTTTGTTTCGACCAAAGCTTGCTAATTGCTTCAATTTCTTTCCTTTGCTATTCTTGCTTTGCGGCTTTTCTTGAGTTGCCTCGGGAGATTTTGACGCGCCTTCGCTTTCGTTGTCTGTAGTTTCGAAGTTTGCTCCGCCAGCTTTAGACACATGTTCTTCGGCAGTTTTCGTGTTCCCCTCAACACTCACGATGTTTACTGCGGTAGTCTCACCCGATGGATCTGATGGATGCTTGTCTTCGTCGGCAGAACTCTTTCTCGTCGAAATTTTCACTTTTTTAGAGCGGTGAAAAGCAAGCTTGCCTTTCTTGCTGTTGCTAGCATGATCTTGTTTGGCTTGTTCGGAGTTAGATTCTTCTTTCCCGTTTCCCTGCTCTTGAATCGTTTCGAGATCTTGCTGGACATCTTTGTTCGTACATTCGTCACGTTTTCCGTGCCCTTGTGTTTGCTCTTCTTTTGTCATTTTCTCGTCCGACGGATTGAATTCTTTTGAAATGTTCGATGTTCCACTTGCGTCGCTTGCTGAAACCGTTTGGGATGTTCCTTCAGTATTTAACTTGGAGTCTTTGTTATTATCGGCAACGTTTTGCTCGTCACAAGCCAAGCTTTCCTGATTTTTCAACTGGCTCTCTAAAGTTTCGTTAGACTGGGCTCGCGTCGGTTTTTTGCCTCTCTTCCTTTTACGTTTTGACTCTTTTCCCGGTTCGTTTTTGGCGCCTAAAAGCTGCTTGTCTAATCCAGCTGACTGCTTTGAACTCTCTGCCATTTTACACCAATATCTTTGAGAAAGATCGCTTCACTTGCGTTACAAACTTAGTTTTCGCAGAAATGAATAAAATTATTTGAAGGAGAAATGTTAAATAGGTCCATTGATCGCAGAGGTGTGAATCTATTGAAACGCAGTCACGTGGTATATGTGCACGTGAAGTTAAATCATTTTCGCCAGAATTTAAACAAAATGAGGCTCTTTTTTTGCCGTCGATAGATATTAGAGGATCCAAATCTCAACTGTTTGTAACCGAATAGATTTGTTTTGCTTACTTGGTTACTTGTCAAAAGAACTTCGTGATTTCCACGGGGCAACTAGCCAATCAGAATTATTTTTAGGTCGGTTCAAAGTCTATTCCACGCGTCTTCAAAGTGCAAAGTTAACACCTACAGTGAAATCCCGATATATCCATCCTCCAAGACAAACAAAAATTGGTTTGAAAACTCGGCCAGTTCGAGAATTCGGGTGTAAAATTAAAGCTTTCGACTGAGGGGAGAGAAATGACTTTTGGTTCGAGTTATCGGGAAGTTCGAAAAATAGAGGGTTAGAGAAATCGACATGTCTTTGTAATTTTGAACGTGAAAGATGCGACACAAGCCATCTGTAATTTGCATGTGAAGAGAACGTGAACAGGTTAATCAAAACGAGTTCTGTTTCCCCTGAATAAATCGCACGCATCATTTCATAGAGTTGAATGTAAAGTTTTGTTAACATTGCCGCAAAACAACGCGTATATCGATAGTATTGTCTCCTGGCTTTGCCAGCCTTTTATTCCCAAGAATGATCAAATTATAATATCTCCTTACAAAATTAACACATGGTCCAATTGACAGGTGATGAGAATAAAGAAAATCATAGATGTCTTGATTTACCGATTGTTCGAACTTGGACTGAAATGGTGAGATGGCAGCGTGATTGCATAACTCACTAATAATGTATTCGTTCTACAAACACACTCGACTCTGTCTATGAACGCAGCTGAACAATTCATAATGACTGATTTTCTGGAATCTAATCTCAGTCAAATATCACACATCGCATTGCTTAAACTTCGAATATCAAATGTCAAGTCTGATCACTGAACAACAAGGTTTATTTTTCTGGTGTTCTATTTTTTACAAGTCAGCTAGGCTAGCCTCGTGATCTTAAGCATGAATGAAGCAAATCCAAACCATTCGGACAACAGCTTGTCAGAAACAGCGAAAAACATTTAAACAATTGTTAGTGCTAATAAAGCTTTGTACCAGTAGATATGGTGGACATTTAAAATGGAACTTTTCAGAATATTTCTTATAAGCCATCCGAAAAAATCCTGCACAAATTGACAAATAGAAACCACGGACGGTATCAACAAATTTCTGGCAAATTAATTATAAGAAGCTAGCTGTTCTATCACCACTCATTCCCCATTGGCTGATTTGCGAATAATTTGCTTGGATGGCCTTTTCAAGTATTTGCATTGAGCATAAAGCTCAACGCTTTACAACCAAAATTTTAAATAATTGCTCCCTTGGTCAAAATGAAAAACGCTTCTAAATTTGCTTTTTGTTTTTCAACGTAGTGATTGTTCACGTTAATGGTGTCGTATTTGGACGCGTGACTTGCACACAGCGACCTTTTGATATCGTGAAGAAATTCTAAGCACCGTATCAAGTGATCTCTCATCAGATTACCATCGATTTGATCACTCATCTTTTGCACTTTGTATTAACTTCTTTCTGATACGACGTAATAGTGAAAACATACTGAATTCTTACAGCATGCGCTTGTAATTATGAGCAAATGGTCACTGCAATTAAAAATCCACGCAGGTTACTGAGATTTTGATATCGTTAGTGCAGTTTCTATCAACTATTCTATAAGTGTCTCAGCGACTTTTATCTCCTGTTTTGCTGCCTCGAGTTTCTTTCTCTGGTGCTCTTTTATCTTCTTTAAGTGAACTTTGAAGCATTGTGGATACTTCTTGATTAAGGAGGTGATAAAGTACACCAAAACCTGTCTAGTAGCTTCGCTTGCCCGGTTCAGAAGAAAACTCCAGAAGCCAATAAGCTTGGCGAGGCCGAAATCGGAAGAATATAGGCTTACCACGTATTGGAAACTTCCGGAGGGATTCACGTGAAGAAGATTTTCGTTGTTTATCACTAGTTGTTTCAAATTCGTGAATGCTTCCCCAAGGATCCCAGTTGACGGGACGATCTCTTTAGGCCCCTCGAGTTCAGCCTGGATGGTTGTTTTCACTGAGCTGATATCCTCTACAGTGGGGCACGCCGGAACAGGGACCAAGCTTTCAATTTCGGAGCCGACATCTTCGGGCACATTGATTGTAGTCACCGCGGCCGGCCAAGATTCTTCAACTTCAGGTTCTGAAATGCCTTCGATCTGGCTGACCATCTGTTGGACAATTCCTTCCTTAACGCTGTCTCCTCCCGGCAGCTCCCATTCAACAGAGTAAGGAGCGGGCTCTTCCAGGTAGATATTTTCTTTCTCTTCAGTGAAGCGTATTTTCTTCTTCTTTCCTTTTCCAAATGATAACCGGTGGGCTAGATTCTTGGCCTTTTTCTTTTCTTTCGGTGCCTTGACGTTTGAAGTGATTTCCGCTGTGGCTCCTTCAGCTTCTGAGTGCTCTTCAGGGGTTTCGAGGCGCCAAGCCTCTGAGGATGCCATCGACTTTTCCCGTTTATGCTTTCGTCTTTTCGTCTTTTCTGATGCAGGAGATTTTTCACCGTGTTTTTTTTCAATTTTCCTGTGGAAGAGACCTCGCTTCGTTGAAGGACTTTCAGACATGGTGGATTCTCGCGAGCTTACGTAACAGCTAACCGTATGGACCTAGCTGCTGACTGAACTTTGATAAAAGAAAAACTGTTCTTCCCTTTTATACTTTAAGTGGAATACTCGTCACCATGCCCCGTTCGGTTGTTCGATTGTCAATGGACAATGCAGATCAAAGTTCAGATTACTGACAGGAACATGTCAACGCTGCTTAAAATAACCTTAAAGAGTAACTGGACTTAATGTATAAAGAATAACCAGTGTTTCATTCGTTTCGGCATTAAACATAAGCTCACCACAGAGACACGCGAGCCACCCCGCCGCTACAAGACGGCGATCACACGAGCTAGTAGATATTCTAACTCGTGTACCTCTAACGTCCAGTATATTTTATGGCAAATAAAAATATTTCTGAGTTAAGGATTTTGTCCAAGAGTTTTGACTCTTGTTTGACTAAGTAGGCAAGATGTAACAGAAGAGGATTATGACGTCCAGTGTATTATTCTCTTGCTCATCTCACAGAAAAAAAAAAAGATTTAAATCTAGCTTGTGTACATCCGCCCCCTCCCCTCCCCAATTTTTTTTTTCGAGGTGAGGGGACGGATGTACACAGGCTAATTTAAATCTTTAAGCCGAAAGATTGCAAGGCCAACATTTTAGGGTTTACTCTACTCAGGGTTAGTTATGTAGATTCCCTAAACAAATACTGAAGAAATGTATGGAGACCTGTAAGGAGAATTTGAATGTTGACATTGAGGTTCAAAGGACCCTAAGAATTAAGCTCACGTTATTGTCTTATTCTGTAAGTTACGTTATTTTGTACATAGAGTGATAAGTTCATCCAAGGTATGCGTTGTGGGGGAGGGGGGACGGTGGCGTTACTCTCAGCCTCTACCCCTCCCCGAGATCCATCACCGATTGTTATGAACCCTAAATGACCTCGGAATCCGTTGGCTAAATACAGAACCGAACACGACATTATGTCATGTTTTTTTATGTTTGTTTGTTTACTGCACGAACTTGCATTTGCCACTAATTTTGCTCGCTTATGCGACTGGTTTATGACATTTACATATTAAATAACGAACCGGCTGTAAAACCGAAAGGTGGTCCCAACTAACATGAGTGAAGGATGTGCTTTATAAAGAAGCAAGGGGGAACGAGCGCCCTGGAGGAAAAAAAAAACATTTCGTGACCGAGACATTTAATTCAGCGGACGTGCTTTGTACCAAGAGTCTATTGAAAGGGCACTGAACTGAGCGACACAAGACAAACACGTGAATCATCAAGGCCGGAATATTTGTTAACTCGTATCAATATAAGGAGTGTTGAAATAAATCAATACCGTGGACTTTGCTTAGACTCGTACATGAAATAATATCCATCAGTTGTTTCTCGGTGAATTTGGCGTTTTAATACACTTGCGTAATACAATGTAAGCGTAATGAAGTTCACCGTGCACAAGCAACAGGCTAATAATGTCCCTCCATAATCTCTATAGCATGTCTCGTGTCTCACTAATTCCAGTTTATCACTAAACAGTTTTTGCTTCTTTTCGGTGGTTCTGATATTTGCTGATATTTGCTGATATATACCGTTAAATTTAAAGAACAAGTCAGTTATATTCAGAGAGTGGCCGAAAAGTTCCAAAAGCCGAATACTGGTGTACGTAAAGATCACTCCGCGCATCCATGTTACCGGTTAAATAACCAAAATACTATAGTGTCTGTTGGTGAAACCAAACTGATAACTTGGTATTTGTGCCGAACATTAATATTAGAGCGCTTCTGTCGAAAGTAATTCGCATTTTCTTTGCTTTGCATTCGGCTAGTTTACTACGCTTTGTGATTAGTTTAAGAATCTTCCGCCACTTTTTCATCCAATCAGGCTTAGCAGAACTAAAACCAATCTCGACAAATCATAAACGTTATACCGCGGTTTGTGACAGCTACTTGCATTTGGTTCGAGCTGTGATTGG